CTTAATGGATGTCAATCTTCTCCCGCCGCTTTCTTCCCCACCTCCTTGCCGCGCCCTATTCCGGTAAACCCGTTCTCTGTCGCCATCTGCTGGTAGTATGCGTTACTACACCAAACGCGCAACAGCACCTTCGCCTGCCCTGAATACCTACATGCAAACCGCCGGCTCTAAGGGCGCAGCTCGCTTGCCCTGAGTGGTGCTAAAAGGAGGCTGCCGGTGCAGATCTCATTCCCATAAGATGCATGTAAAGAAGCACCGCGGACGCCCGGGAAGGGTCACAGAGCGACAGGCAGGGCGGTTGACCAGCTGACAGGATTCACGAGAAATAAAAATTACCAAGCCGCAGTCCACCTAATGGTATCAAAACAGGATCTCTACAAATGGAGCTCAGCGATCTGTGTCTTGACCAGCTCACAATAGGATTTTCATGCATCATAAACTTTGCCTGAGTTTCTCAGGCAGTTTTGTTGATGCCCGGATTCATTAAAAGCTGCTTACTGAGCCTCACCCCAGACCTACTGAACTTAAATATATTGGGGTCCCAGAATCCCCATTTAAAAAACAAATAAACCTATCCAAGTGATAGGTGTTAACGTTAAAGTACAGAGAATCACAAACTGGCAGACCTCTTTAATTTACAAATAGGAAATGGAGACCCGCCCCCCCCCACCACCACAAGAGGGAAAGGAATTTGCCCAATGTCTCCCTGCAAGATCCTAATGAAACTAGACGCTCTAGGGTTAAAATCGTTTTGACACCCTTTCCCTCTCCCAACTAGTCACGTGGCCCCTGGCAAACTATCCTGTTCTAATCTGTGAAATGGGAACAACAGTCACACCTACCCCAACATAGGCATTTAGTGACTGTAAATATCAGATGGGACCAAAATGAGTGAACTACCAAGCACCACACTACTGGAAGTAGAGGTTCCGCTAAATCTTGATGACCCTACCCCCATCCATCTCCTAGAACAACTGTATGGGGGTGGAGGTGAAGCCACTCAGCCACATGTTGGTCCCAAACCACGTCCACATTCATCCACAGCTCAATGAATATTTCTTTTTTTGGAGAGAGAGAGAGGCTCCTTGGAACCTCTGGAGTCCGGGGTGGGGGATGTTATCCTCCTCATGAGTGCACTGTCTTCCTAAGATAGGATGGACTACGGGGTCTATATGGGAAGAGTTAGCTGCCAGGGCTTCAAGGCTGGCTCTTAAGTGGTTGCTGGAGGCTTAGAGAACCCATTCCAGCTCTCTCTCAAATAGGGGCAGCTTATTAGCAGGAGTGAGTGAGGTGAGCCCACTATGAACCCATAGGAGGAGAGGAAAAGACCATCCCCTCTAAGCTTTTACATACCCCATTGCAAGCTCCAGAATGTGGTGCCCAGGCCCTTATCTCTAACCCATCCCCAGAAGCCAGTTCTCCTCAGCCCTTCCTGCCACTTCTGCCATTGTACATCCAGACAATTCCCCTCTTCTCTTCTACCAAACTCCTACTCATCTCTCATCCATCAAGTCCAAATTTAAATTTCTTTCTCTGTGATATATTCTCAGGGTAGAGGTAGAGGTGCCTTCCTCTGTATTCCAAGAACATGTTGTTTGCAGCTCTAAATACAGAAATCAGCCTACTATTAAGCTTCAGGTGCATCTTTTAGGGGTTCAAGAAGGAATCGCACTCCAAAAACACTGGGCTTATTCCCTAATTTCATCAGACCTGACCTTAGTGCTTCATCCATTCCCACCTCTCCCAGCCATGTGAGAGGCCTTTTCTTTTTATGGGTTTGACAACAACCAGTTACTTGCCCAAAAGTATTCTTGTCATATTTATAATAAATTCCAGCCAACAAGATGCTTTCTGCCAAGGTAATGTTCCTTTTTAGAGCACTTTGTCCCCAGGGATATTAGACAACTTCAGCAGCCTCATATAAGCATTAACTGAAAGTGACGCTTCCTTGGTGGCTCAAAAGATTCCCCGAGCAACCCTACTCTGTCACTGATGTCAAATTGCAGTGAGATTGCGTCAAAGCTCTCAGAGCACAGCTTCAAAGGGAAAAGCAAAGAGCTCTACTCTGAACCTGCAGCTTTAGGCAATTAGTTTCTCTCTGACGGTCCGTTTTATACTTAAGGAAGAAATGGAAGATTGCTACCAAAAATGGCATCAGGTTACTTATTCCAATCATGTGATCAGTTGCTACTCCCGTGAGGAGCAAATAAAGAGGAGGTAGACACATAGCTATTCCTAGGCTTGAGGAGCAGGGAAGCTCTGGAATTGGTGTGCAGCATGTGCTGCATAGAGCACCATTACAAAGGAACAAGAGAAGTCCACTAGGAGGTAAAATACAGAGCACTTAACTCACAGGGGGTCCGGGAAACAGGCAGGCTTTTGTATTTATCATTTGCTGCGACATCTCTCTGCGAACTTTCTTCTCCCTTTTAATTTTCCCTGTACTTTAATTATATTTCTGAGACTTGGCGAAGTGGCTCAAGCCTGTAATCCCAGCACTTTGGGAGGCTGAGGCTGGCAGAACACATAAGGTCAGGAGTACAAGACCAGCCTGGCCAACATGGTGAAACTCCTTCTCTATTAAAAATACAAAAATTAGCCAGGCGTGGTGGCAGGCACCTGCAATCCCAGCTGCTAAGGAGGCTGTGGCATGACAATAGCTTGAACCCAGGAGGCAGAGGTTGTAGTGAGCTGAGATGATGCCACTACACTCCAGCCTGGGTAGTACAGCAAGACTTTGTCTCAAAAAAAAAAAAAATTCTCAGTTAATGGCCAACATTGTTACCATCATAAGTCCCAGTTTTCCTAGCTTTCACCCTCCATGTATCTTTTATTTTTACCTATGTTCTTCTCACCCAGGTTTGGCATCTTGCCCCTTCTTAAGCCTCCCTGGGCATCATGTGTTGAATGTCCACTTCCCTCCTTGTTTTTCAGTTGGAGTGCCTTAGCATCTCCAAGTCAACATGTCAAAAGCAGAATTACTGATACACACACACACACCACTCCTGACACACACAGCGTCTTCTTCCTCAGACTTCCCCATATCAGTTAACAGACTTTATCCTTCTAGTTGCTCAAGTCAAAAACCCAGGAATCATCACTGAGCCCTCTTTCTCTTTTATTTATGGAACACCCCAGCCATAAGCAAATTCTATGGGCTCACCTTCCAAAATAAATGTGGAATCCAGCCATTTCTAACACCTCCACCATTACCATCTGAGTCCGGGCTTCGACATCTTAGCCATCCTGGGATAGAATCTTAGCTGCCTCTCCCTTCCACATCTCCTCTTGTCCTCCTAGAGTTTGTCCCACACACACAGATGCCAGAGTGATTTTTAAAGATATGTCAGGGTATATTACTCCCTTGCTTCAAATCCTCCATTTAAGATAAATTTCACATTTATAACAAAATCCAGACTTTTTCATATGGCTGACCGGGTGCTTCATGCTAACGGAATGTGCACGTGCTTCTCCCTAAGGAGTGCTTTTTGCCAGGGCAAATTCTCTGTCTCCAGTGATGTCAGGTAATTTCCACAACAGCATTCTCTGCCACCTTTTGCTTTTCATAGCTTTTTTCCTCCAGATTCTACAATGAAAGGAAGATCAAGTCTCCTTGTGTAGCAGGAGCGGCGGCGAGAAACAGAGCTCCCGAAGGCCAAATGGAGAAGGAAGAAGTCTTTATTACAGCTGGGAGCTGAGAAATAATTTGTCCAAATTCAGCTCGTCTAACAAAGGAGGGTTCTGCCTTTATATAGGCTTATACTTTAGATTTACCCGTGGAAGAATCTTAGGTTTACAGCCTTAGAAATCACATATGTAAACGGTTTCGGTTTACAGCTTCAGGAATCACATATGAAAAGGGTTTCAGTTTACAGCTTCAGGAATCACATGTGAAAGGGTTTCGTTTTATAGTTTTAGGACTCATATGTGAAAAGGTTTTGTGTTTGATTTTGTTTTAAGCAAAAAGTGTCTTCCCGAGAGTTTCCCCAAGACCAAGCCTGCCACCTACAGGAAGGTGAATCAGGAGGCGCCAGTCAGCATTGTCTTCTATTGAAATGCAGTGTGGCAGTCAAAGTGGAAGTTGATCCGAGATGGCTGGGTCTCCTTCCTCACTTGTGCAATGATTTACTCCTCGATAGATATTGGTGCCAGTCACGGGTACCACTTTCAGATGATTCAAGAATAACAGCGATTTGAGAGAGTAAGTTTTCCTTTCTCTTTTTCTGTTTGATATTTATTTTTACAATTATACTTACAAAGTTTGCTCTTTCCAAACACCACAAGACCCATGTAGTTTAAGCAGTGATTTTAGGGAATCTCTGTATATTTGACATTAAGCTCAGAAACATGCTCATGATTATTCCATCAGAACTCTCAACTTTTACATAAACATCTGTCCTTCTACCAGTTACAAAATAATTGTCACCATCACCCCTTAATCAACCATCTTCTCCCCTTCTTTAACCAGCTTCTCAAAAATAACACCCAATACTGAAGGCATCTCCTTCTATTCAGGGTCTTAGTAAGACCTTCTGTTCCTACAGCAAGAAGAACAGTAAGATGTTTCTCAAGCCCCATGCAAAGCACTTCTTTGATCAACGGTTTTGGGATGCTCGGCTTTGGAGTCTTCATCCGGAGGGTAAAATTCCTCACTCAGTAATGCGTGTCCTAGGAACCAGGCCTAAGCACTGGTGGCCGCTTCCTCGTCCAGGATGGCATTGTCGGTGTTCGCCAGCCCCTCCGCGAAGCTGGCTCATAAGCAGGGCAGGCCGAGTCCATCCAGATGTCACGCAGACGCAGGTGCAGCCTGCTTTGGGACCTGCAGTCTGCTGGAGGCTTGGCCTCTGCATCATCTGTGTGTAGCTCTCTCTGCTGCGGCCGTCCCGTCACCGCCCCCACCCCGCAGCTGCAGAACAGCAGGAACCGCCAAACATCTTGGCGGGCTATGCCCTGCACCTCCCGCGGGCTCGTTGCTCCTGCTGGCAATCAAATAGCAGGGAAATTGTGAAACCGACAGGCACCTCCCATTCCCGCCCAGCTGCCGCGCTGCTCCTCCTAGTGCCCCGCTAGGAGACTAGGGACGCCGCTGAGCGGGAAGGAACTGGGCAGCGATTGCTCCTCCTCATCCTCCACTAGGAGACAAGGGACGCCGCTGAGCGGGAAGGAGCAGGGCAGTGATTGCTTAGTTTATCCTGGGAGGCGGGAGCGGGCGGTGGACTGAGTGGTGCGGGGGAGGGGATCGCTGGGGCATATAGATGCGTCATCCGGACAAATAGGGAGCTTGGGCGGCTGGGCGCGCAGTCCCCTCGGCCCCGCCTTCCGGCCCACCCGAGCGCGGGCAGGCTGGCTCTGTCATCCCTTCCAGTCGCTTCGGTCACTGTCTAGAGCTTGCCAATTGCCTTCCAAAGTGGATGAGAGATGAGTCATTTCCATCCAATGAGAGAAAACAGCCTCCAGAGACTCTTCGCCCATTGGCCAGCGAGAGTGTCAATTCCCAGGCTAGCAAGGGCGCTCTTCCAGGCAGGAAAAGTTGGGCTGAGAGCGATCCAGTAGTCTTTTCAGCACCTGCTGGAAACCGTGTGGACACGGGCACGTGCACTGTCTAGACAGACTCTCCGGAACTGTGAGTGGTTTTTCTGGTCCTGGGTAGAACCTGGAGTTCTTAGGGGGTGGCTGGCAAGGGCAATAGGCAGACGGACCTCAGCCCAAAGTAAAGGAGGTTTTGGATGGGGAGCTGGGCAGCCCTGCCTGTTGTGGTAATTCCCTTCCCTCCCTTCAGCTTCAAAAGCCAAGAGTTTTACTCCTAAAAAGATACATGGGGATCCTCTGGGTGTTCCTGAAGCTCAAGAGAGTCGTTTGACCCCGGTGGGTCCTTTCCCTGTCTTGTGCCCTTCGCACCCATAGAACGAGACCAGGTTCAGTTAAGCAGAGCAGAAACTTTATTCACTGATCAAGGAATTGAGAAGGGGAGCTCCTGCTCAAAGTGCCTTCTCCCCCGGGGTGTAGTGAGGGGGTGCTTTTTAAGGTCTTCTGGGGCATGGAGGTGGAGACTGAGGGCAAGGATTCCTGGCAAGAGATGGGACTTTCCAGGAAGAGCTGAGTGTGGCAGTCTCGTGCTTTCTGTTCCCTCCCCACCCCTACCACGAGTACGTGTACCTAGCAAGGTGCATTTCTTTCTGGGCAGAGATTTCCTATGGTAATTAGCAATGATTCAGGTTACTGTAGCGCTGCTGAGCTCCTTTCCCATCTTGTAGCCCCGTGGTTACTGACATCCAGCCTTTATTTCTGTAAGCAAGCACAGCTGCAAGCACAGGTTACCTTCCTAGGTTATGAGGCTTTAGGAAAGCATTGAGGTCATGCTGTGGTGACATAGGCAGTTGTTGAAACAACGTGGTGTGCATTTAAGGCGGGGATTGTGGGGTGAGGCAGGTAAAAACGCAGATTCCATAGCCACACCCCGACATACTGAATCAGGGTCTGTGAGGGTGGGATCTGGAATCCTTTTTAAAAAGCTCAGAGGAACCAATTCACAGGAACAATAAAAGTTTGATCTGAGCCAAACTCCTTAATCTAGATATGAGGAAGCGGGGATTCCCTAAAAGGGATACAGGGAGAGGGTTGCAGGAAAGTTACGCTATAATAGTTTTAGGGTGATTCTTTCATGGGAAATAACCTGGGAAGTTTTCTCAGCTGATGCTCTAATCAGTACGCTGGTGAATACTTTAGGTGAACCCTCTTCATATATCCGGAGTTCTCTCTCTGTTCAGGTGTCCCTCCAGGTCTATGGTCTGTGACCTCTTGTCACTTTGGTCTCTCAGCTTTATCTCCTCAAATCTGGAATTCCAGCTAGCTTTGCCTTGATGCCCTTCCTTGTGACAGTGGCCTGGAGACTCCCTCAAGGTAGTCTGCTAGAGTAGATTATAGGACACATTTCAATTGTTACTGTCCTTAACTGTATGATTTCCAGTTCCTTGTAAACCATTGTTTCATATATTTTGCTCTGTTTTGTTTTGTTTTCAGAATAGGGAGAAATTCAGTCCCTGTTACTCCATTTTAGCCAGAAATTCAAGGTAATGACTTTTAATGTTCCTGACTACTAGTTCTATCATCTCTCTCACTTCTGAATCTGTCTCTATTTGTGGATGTTTCTAGTCATTAGGGTCGTATTTTTCCACTTTTTAAATGCTTGCTGATTTTTGACTAGATATCAAGCTTTGTTGATTTCACAACTCTGGGTGCCAGAAATTTTTACATTCCTATCAACCTTCTTGACGTTTGTTCTAGTATATTGCTATTTTATATGGCAACCATTTTATACTTTTAAAGCTTGCTTTTATTTGTTGGGTGGGACCAGGACTACGGCTAATTTTGTCCCACTTTGGAAGCAATACCTTTCTAAGTACTCTTGTAAGGTTTATTGCCAATGTAGAATGAGGAAACTGAGGCAAGTATGAGCAAATGAGAAGCCAATTTATTCAGCTCCCAGGCGAGGTTCTGTGGTCCAGGAAAGGGCCAAAGAAGTTGCGCCCAGCTGTTTAGGTCATTAGGTCATGGGGTTTTATGGGAAGGAAAGGCGATTGATCGGCTATTGGGGAAACAAAGCAAAGGCAATTTTATTGGCTGTCAGGAAGCAGGAAGTGCCTGAAACTAGTTGCTATTGGTAGGCGGGCAGGACTTTGGGTAAGTGGGTCTTGATTGGCTGTTGGGGAAACAAAGTGAAGGCAATCCTATTGGCTATTAAGAAGCAGGAAATGCCTGGAGCTAGTGGTTATGGGTAGGCGGGCGGGACCTTGGGCCTTGATTGACTGTTGAGGAAACAAAGTGAAGGCAATCTTATTGGCTTGGGTGATGACGCAGTTATCAGAGGCGGAGAGAGATGGATGAGTCCATTTAACCCTCTGTGAGGCAGCTGGCCTTACAACTCTGCCTGATACTTCATGAATTATGAAGTTATCTAGTCAGAATTTGGGAACTGAAACTTTTCCCAGTGCTGTATGAGCCTCAGAAATTGCTACATCTGCTCCTTTTGGGTAGTTGTTTTCCTGCTCCTTTTCAACAGTTTCATTACACTCATGCATTGGCCAAGCTGAAATCTCAAGGGATACCCACTACAGACTCTGATACTCTGCTCCTGTGGCTCTCTTCTCCCTAGTTCTCTACCATACAAGCTCCAGTCATCTTGGCCTCCTAAAACTCCCAGCTTGTCTTTCTCAACTCAGGGAAACTGCTAGACTCTGCCTGTTTCCCCTCCCTGAGATATGCCTTGGAAACTCCACACAGTAAGCTAGATAGCCACAGGGCTTACCTCATATGACTTCTTTCTCAGATATCAGAGACGAGGTCCCACACTGCCTGATGACCAGGGTTTGAAAGTTGTTATTTCATAGATCTTGTCTTTTTTGTTTTTTTAGACATTTCAGGTGGCAGAATAAATTCAATCCTTGGTTCTCCGTCTTGTCCACTAGTAGGAGTGGAGTTAGTTATATTCTCTTTGAACTCATCATGAATTCCATGAAGACTGAGGAGAATGAGTCACTTATTGCTACAGAAGGTGACCAGAGTACTAGACCTGAAGTTTCAAAGGTATATCTACTTTTTTACAACTACTCACTGGAGTGATAGTCTAACCATAATGCCATACGAGGTTCGTGGAGATAAGTTCTTAAAGAATGATACTTATAAGCCCTTCCCTTACGCTCTTTAAAATATATTTGGGGAGTTCATACACATAAGTGCTTGTGGAAAGCAAAATGAGTTAATAATGCTAAACATTTCTTTAATCAACAAGATGACTAACAAACAATATAGATACATCATGGAGAGTATAGACAGGCAAAAATAATTAGCTAATGTTTACTGAGAAAACACTGTGTGCCTGGAATTGTGTCCCATCATATGGATTATCTCATTTAACACTTAATAGAACTATACAACAGGTACTAATATCATCCTTATTTTACAAAAGAAGAAACTGAAGCTCAACTTGCTTATAGTTGCAGAAGTAATAGACTGCAGAGCAAGAATCTGAAGGTAGGCGGTCAGACTACAGAGACTGGTTTTTGAACCATACTATTTTGCTCAAAATATGCAAAACGATAATACTAAATTGAGACGTGAACAAGTGATTTTAGAATACAGAGAAAAGAATGCTTAATTAAACTTAAGAAATTATAGCAGTGTCATATGAGAAAGACCTTAATGAATGAATAAACCTAAAATTGTCAAACTCATAGATGTAGAAGTGGTTGTTGGGGCTGGGAAGAGAGGAAAATGGAGGTATTAGTCAAGGGGTACAAAGTTTACTTACACAAGGTGGTAAGTTCTAGGGATCTGTACAGTATGGTGCTTATAGTTAATAATATTGTATGCTTAAATTCTTGCTAAAATGATAGATCTTATGTTAAGTATTCTTATTACAAAAATAATAAATGAGGGCAGGAAAAGACTTTTGGAGGTGACAGATTGATGGCATAGATTGTGGTGATAATGTATCTCCACGCTCATCAAGTTGCATACATTAATTAATGCATCATTAATTATGCATTTATTATGTCTAAATTTAATTTGTTTTTTTAAAAACAATGAATAACATTTCACTAATGTATCAAGGATGAAGGAATGGCCTGAGTAAAGTCATGTATACATGAAAGTGTATTTGAGGAACAGAATAGCTGCATTTGATGGTATATAAGGATAATTCAAGAATGTGGTCTTCCCATATTGCCAGTAAAAATATTTTCTATTTGTGAAACAATAAAATGGATTCATTGCTTCACATGAGTGGATATTCCAGAATTCAGCTGAGCTCTTAATTTAGTGGTTTCTTCAAGGACTTGTTTGTGTGTTTTGTCTCTATGTTCTGCTTTTCATGTTATACACTGGCTGGCTTTCTGCATAGTGACAAATAGAGCTGCAGTAATAGCAGAGGCTTTAGTCTCCCGATAATGAGTCTATCCTGGTTTCCTGAGGAAACCTCTCCTTGCAATCTAATTGTCTCAAGTAGCTCACCCATTCCTGCACAAAACCATGTGACTACGAGGGCACTTACAGATATTCTTAAGCTGCCATGAATTCATTTCCATGCATGTATGGCTCCTAAAAAGTGGGAGGGAGGTAGAATAGCTTTCTGGAAAATAGCTGCAGTATCTTTTACTTCTTTGAATTCCATGTGTAGGCTCTGGATTTTCTTCTGTAAATAAAGGAGATGTGTTTACAGACTTTATCCTTGTATTGTTTAGGAGTTATTCAATTCACTTTAGACTTTGTTAAGTATTAATGTTAAAATACTTAGGGCTATTTTTATTCAAGAGAGTTGCCACTAATCACATGTGATTATTTAATTTAAATTCAACTTAACTAAAATCAAATAACGAAAAAGGTGAATAATGCAAATTCTCAGTTGCACTAATCACATGTCAGGTACTTAAGAACCACATGTGGCTGTGGTATCAGGCAGTACAGATGCAGAACATTTCATCACTGCAGAAATTCTGTTGGGCAGTACTAAAGTCTATGGCATCCAATTATAGAACAGAACTAGAGTATTAAACTGCCAAACGATTTGTGGAGAAGGAACGAAAGGGAAAAATCAAGGAAAAATAAAGGAGGCAATGAAGCAAAGGAATATAAATTTAGAAAAAGTAGAAGATACAAAATGATAGAAATGTACACAAAAAACCCCAAACCCAAATTATTCAAAAGACTTTAACTTTTATTGTTTCTTTTAAATTTATTTATTTCATATGCAGTAAAATTCAGTCTTTTTGGTATACAGCCCAATGGCTTATGACAAACACCTACAGTCATGTAATCATGAGCAGAATCAAGAAGCAAAGCAGCTCCGTCACCCTAAATAATTCCTTGTGTGGTTTTATTACTCTAAATAATTCTCTGTATTCCCCACTTACCCCTTTTCACTCCAGTCCCTGGCAACCGCTAATCTGTTCATTACTCTAGTGTTGCCTTTTCCAGAATATCATGTAAATGGAACACACACTGAATCATACCCTTTGAGTCTGGCTTCTTAGAACATTCTATATAAGATTCATGGATGTTGTTGCATGCATTGATAGGTTTTTTCGTTTTATATCTGAGTAGCATTCCACTGTGTGAGTGTATCAAAATCTGTTTAGGCATTCACTCACTGAAGAACATTTGAATTGTTTCCAGTTTGGGGACTTCATAAATAAAGCTGTTGTGAACATTTGCATAATGGCTTTCATATGAAAACTGGTTTTCATTTCTCTTGGATTCACCTAGCAGTGGAATTGCTATCATGGAAAACGAATGTTTCACCTTTAAAAGAAATTGTCAAAATGTTTTTAAAATGACCGTATGATTTTGCATCCTCACTACCAATGTGCGAGAGTTCCAGTTGTTTCATGTACTTATCAACACAAAATTTTTCTGATTTATTCATTCTCACAGGTAGGTACTGGCATCTTTTTGTGGTTAATTTGCATTTTACTAATGACTAATGATTTCAGCATCTTTTCATATTCTTATATCATCCACATCTTTGGTGAAGTGTCTATTAAAATATTTTGTCCATTTTTATACTGGTTAGTTATTGCCGAGTTTTAAGAGGGCTTTACATATTTTGGCAATAAGTCCTTTGTCATTGCTTTTCTCATAACATTTGTGATATTGATATTTTATCTCTCTGTGGGTTGTCTTTTCATCCTCTTAGTACTGTTTTGGGAGGGAAAAGCTTTCAATTTTGATGAAAGTTCACTTTATATATATTTCTCTTTGTGGATCATGCTTTTGTTTTTTACATCAAAGAAATTTGATAAATCTAAGATCACAAAAAACATTTCTAAGTTTTCTTTCAGAAGTTTATAGTTTTAGGTTTAAGTCTACGACTGATTTTAAGTTTGTGTTTGTGTGTGTGGTGCAATATCTGGATCAAAGTTTATGTGTTTGTATAAATTGTGTTTTAATTGTGTAAAAAAATTAACTCAATTGTGGATGATTAGCATCTTAACAGTGAGTCTTCCAATCTTGAACAAGGTACGTTCTCCATTTATTTTGGTCTTGTTTAATTTCTTTTGCCATGGGGCATCTGGGAGAATAGCAAATCTGGTGGATAAAGGCAGGGTAGGGAGTGGGGGGGTTGAAGGGGCAATGTGACTGGTGCACTACTCTTTCCAAGGCCACCAGACAAGGCGAGAACTAGAAAGATCAGAAGTACAAGGAACGAGTGACAGAGGTTAGTCATCTTAGCATCATGCAACTGTAAGATTTTCCACTGAACTATAAGTGGCTCCTCCTAGCAGACTTTCTGCTATTACGTCTAGGTCTCTGGAGTGTGTCTGTACTGTCTTGGTCCTTTGACTGGAAACCCTTACTTCCTCCACCCTCCCTAAATTCCTCAAAGGAGAGACCTCCAGCACTGGAATGTCTCTCCCCAGAAAAAGTTCTATACAGATGAAGTCATGTCTCCATCAGGGGCCCCTAGACTAAGAGCCCCCTGCAAACTGGATGGTCAAGATCAGAAGTTATTGGGACTTATGTACACCAGAATCGACAGTCTACCAGGAACTTTATACACATCTTATGGGAGTCTCACCATACCAGGAGGGAAATGTTTTCCAATTTGACAGAAAACAGAGGAGAGATATTTGTTCAGGTTGCATTTGAAGCCTGAACCCTCAGTTAGCAAACTTTATTGACCGGCTCCTACTTTAGGGACTGGACATGTGAAAGGGGACAGGGTCCCAGCTCTGTCAACCTCACCTTTCAAAGAGGGAAAGACACGATTAAGGAAACAGACAAATAGAAACGTTTAGTTACTGGATCAAGAACATACGAAGGTAATAGAAAGGGGCGAGTACGTGGCTGGGAGTGCTACTGTGTGGTTGGGGAAGTGGAGAGGCCCCCGAAGAGGCCCTGCAAACACCCAAGGGAAGGCCGGACAGAATGGTGAGTGCAGAAGCCCTGAGATTGGCTAGGGCTTCCTGTCCAGGGCCTGAGAGTGCAGTGTAGTTGGAACCAAGGAGAGAGGAGCTGAGCAGCAGGAGACGGGGCAGAGAGAGGGGTGGGCAAGGACTAAAACACTCCACCTTCATGGGCCTTGGAAAACAGGTGATAGGAAGATGCTTGAAGGGACAGAGGACTGAAAAGTAAAGGCTATTCCACAGGCATCCAGGCTAAAGAGAAGAGGACCTGGAGCGGCCTGAGGCTGGGAGTTGGAGGGGCAGAGAGGAGGTGATGGAATGGATGAGAGTTATGAAGGAAAAGAGAGACGGAGAATTTAGGGCTTAAACTGGAGGCCAGAGAGGGAGCAGAAATGACAAGTGGGTTTTGACCCTAAAACACAAACACTTTAGCACTGACAGGAACTTTGCCTTTTTCTTTGTTTTCTCTCATTGACTAAGACAGTAATCACTTTGTTCATTTATTCAGTGAACATTTTTTGCAAACCTACATGCGTGGTATGTCATAGGCACCAAGGATATACCAGTGAATACAATGATATCCTTGTTCTCTTGGAGCTTACACTATAGAGGGAAAAATAAATTGTGTGTGTGTGTGTGCATGCACATGTGCCTGTGAGTTTTGATATGGGCAGAAGGGAAAAG